CCCCTAGTGCCTGGCCCCTAGTGCCTGGCCCCTAGTGCCTGGCCCCTAGTGCCTGGCCCCTAGTGCCTGGCCCCTAGTGCCTGGCCCCTAGTGCCTGGCCCCTAGTGCCTGGCCCCTAGTGCCTGGCCCCTAGTGCCTGGCCCCTAGTGCCTGGCCCCTAGTGCCTGGCCCCTAGTGCCTGGCCCCTAGTGCCTGGCCCCTAGTGCCTGGCCCCTAGTGCCTGGCCCCTAGTGCCTGGCCCCTAGTGCCTGGCCCCTAGTGCCTGGCCCCTAGTGCCTGGCCCCTAGTGCCTGGCCCCTAGTGCCTGGCCCCTAGTGCCTGGCCCCTAGTGCCTGGCCCCTAGTGCCTGGCCCCTAGTGCCTGGCCCCTAGTGCCTGGCCCCTAGTGCCTGGCCCCTAGTGTTTGGCCCCTAGTGCTTGGCCCCTAGTGAAACCCCTACAAACTGAATAGTATGGATAACTTGCCTACTGTTGCTAAGGTGTAAATGGTTGATTTTCTGCTGCTTGAACAGAAAATCACAATAATTTTTTCCCAACAAAAATTCCAATCATGTCATACCACTTTAATTTACCTAGTCCCACAAACTATAAAAAATGCCTATCCACAATATTTCCCTGTAACACTTTCACAATAAAAGGCATCTTTCACAAAGGAGGGTAAAACACAGTCTTTTGCTCTTTGTAAAGCATACCATTGGTTGTTGGTAGGCAGTCTGTCCATATGGCTGATAATGCTGATAGTGTTGGTAATACTGCTGTTGCTGGAGTTGTTGCTGATGTTGATGCTGGTATCCCTGCCATGCTGCCAGATATTGTTGGTATTGCTGATACTGCTGCATGTATTGCTGATTGGATGCACTAGCAGCTCCATGTGTTGTTGTTGTGTTTCCTGGAGTATTTTGAGGCCTGATAAACCAAAATAGTTCAATGTTTCCTCAGTGTTACTTATCTCAACTGATGGCAGGCAGACCATTTAACTATCTATGAAACACAACTGAGGATGTAAGCATAAAAACACTGTGGGCAAATCAGTTATGTTAAGAGTTGAGCTTTTGGCAAGAAACATTATTATTCCACCATACTTCCAAAGATATTGAAGGGCCAAAATGGAGACAAATTTCGGTGACTTTACAGTTGTTGATGTGCACACTTGTGACATTCCTGGAGGAGCTCAGTAAAACTCTTGTTTCTTATTTGGGAAAATGAAAATTATAAAACTCTAGATTTCATGTTTTAGTACCTTTTGGGTGTTGCAGCACTGACACGGAGAGGTTTTGAACCACACCCCACAGCTCCCTGCATCTCTATCATGGCCTTTCTGTGTTCATTTTCATCTGAGAATCTCACAAATCCATATCCTCTACAAAAAAAAATGCATTTTAATTTGACATAATTAATCCTTCAAGAAGTTAACCATGTGAACAGAATAACATAATTTATAATCACAAGTGCATAATTTCATGTTTTCCTTTAAACTAAGACTGACTCATGCCACCCTCACAAAAGACCATCAATGCCTCATAAGGCAGGGGTTTCAAAATGTTTTGAAGCAGGCTGCCGACTCTGGAAAAGTAGGCCGCTGTGATAACGTCGAGATTGTTTGTCACTAGCAGATCGTTATGACCAGAGTGGCCGGTGACCTACAATCAAGTAGCTAGCGGAACTCCAGCGGTCACCGCCTTGTTTTGAAACTACTGATAAGGGTGTGAAACAAATAACATTAATTTCTGAACATTAAGACCTCCAAAATGGCTTTTCACTAACAACAAAACGCATGATTAAGGTTTTCTCATCATATTTAACCCTTTAACTCCTAGTAGTGATCAAGATGTAACTTCTCCCTATAATACCCATACTTTATCTAGCATATAGGTGGTGAGAATACCCAAACTTATCAGCTTGAAGTTCTTATCTTAATCTAAAACTAAATTCTTACAACTGCAACTAATTTATGAAAAAATGTGTAACAGCTAGAGAGGAGAATTACAGAAACAATCAGATCTTGGGAGTTAAAGGGTCAACAAAAAAATTTACTTGTAATACCATTCAACACACCTTGAATTTCCTGCTGTATCCAACACAACTGCAGAGATAAATAGAAAGCTAACATTAAATTTTGATTGCTAACTCTGGTTATAATTAACAACTATCCACCTACATGTAAGCATAAGTGAATGGTTGTTGAAATTTTTTTGGCCACAAAACAACAAGGTATATATCCGCCACTTTCACCAGCACTGAGGTGAATAATTATATTAGTATAAACCACACAGAAACTAGATATATTATTTTAATAAATGGTTGGGAATTAAACCCTTGATATGCGATTTTTGTCTCTTCAGCAGATTGGAGGTGAATAATACTTGTTAATCACTTCTGAACAAGTCAGTCAGTGCACGTGAAAAGCAACATTCACCTGTGTGGTATATACTAATCATTACTAATGGTCAGTAAGAAAGCTAACAGTTTTTTTTTTTTTTAAGTCAAAAGGTTTCAGTGTCTGGCTTTCATAATCTCAGTTGAGAGGCCTTTGTTAATCTTTTATCACAATCAGGACAACTACATATCCATACCTTTGGCAGCTTTACAACTGGGAAATTTTCTCTGAAAGAACTCCTGGGAAAGACAAAGATATGAGGTTAGGTGTTTTGAGTTATGAATTCAACTACCTCAGATAATTAAATCTTCATGTACCATGCAAATAAGACCCCATAAATGTACAGTCCTTTAGGTACCAAAGAGAAGATTGTGTGAGAAGCATCCCACCATGAATCTTGCTTTGAAATACAGTAAAATTGCAAATTGGGAAACCCTGAAGGCTATGAAAAGTGGCCTCTGAAAAAGGTTATTTTCATAGTGAAAAGATCACGACAGCATTTTTTTCATGTCTTCTGATCTAAGTCTAATGCCCATAGGTACGATAGACAGTTTATTTGAAAAACATTGCAACCGAAGGTTGAATTACGTATTCATTTACAAATTTAAGAAATATATAAAAATGGTAACATACTTTTAAAATATTGAAAATTAGGTAACATAGATAGAGTCAGCTTATACAAAGCGTGCATAAATGATGAAAGATAAAACTATCATGGCACCTGTTCGTACAAACCACAGGTAAATTAAAAGCGCGCTTTTTCCTTAAGTCCACCTTAGATACATTCCTGGGCGGCAGGAGCTTATGCAGCTTGTGATTTGGTGCAAGAACGTTAGAAAAGAGCTTGTTGGCAATATTCTCGCGCCGCTCATGCAGCGAGATAAGCCCAGTGCACGATAGCGCCTCGTCATATTCTTTATGAGGGAAATTATACGTAATGCCACTGGTAGAATGGAGGTGTACCCTGAACAGCAGTGTCTCAAAAGAAAAGTTTCATTGCAATCAGATCACTACAAACAAGTTTGCTGATTTTTCATAATTATACCACTTATCTGAGATCCTTCACAAGATACATGGAAAGCAAAGATGATGCACAGGTGAGGGCACCTGCAAACCAACATCTTAACCTAGGTTTGATTCCAGAATCTGGCTTCACACAAACAATGAGTTTGTTTTACATGTATTTCATATCTCTCTCCTAAAGGGTTTTTTCTCTGCATTCTAAACTTTTCCCATTCCCAAAGCCAACCTTTTAAACTTCAAATTCAACCTAGAAAACAGTGGACATGGAGCCACCCCATGGAGGAACCATTGCAGTAAATGGAATTTAACAATGGAGGAACCATTGTTAAATTCCAATTTTTTGATTGTTTTATCTGTATTTACCTGAAGAGCATAGTCGGTCACATCAGGAGATAAATCACCAACAAATATAGAATACTCTGGCCCCCTGTAGAAATAAGTTAAAAGAAATTCTTAAAGATATTAACAGGGGTAACCTGTGATAGACTAGCATCTTGTCCCAGGGCTTGTCCCAATACTACTACTACTTCATAATATGAAAATCCCAAGAGGCTCCAGCACTATAGCTCCAACCTGGCTTAAACATACCATGCTTCAGGTTGCCATGATTTTGATAAGCCTCAAAATCAGAGTCAGTAATAATTACAAGATGAAATAAAGTAGTAAAAAGCCAGTCTTCCAAAAAGTAGTAAAACACTCTAGTCTTCCACTAACTGACCTAATTGCTGCTTAAATTGGAAAATTTTAATCAAAGATACAGGGATATGTACTTGAAATTTTAAACTAACTTGATTTAAATGCTGGCCTTTGTAGAAACACAGGCTTGACAAGCAGCACTCAGTAATAATGAACATGACGAGTACTTACTGAGTGAATGAGTCCTTGCCATAGGTAGCCCAGTTTAACTTAAAGCGTTTTATCTGTGACCAAGAAAAAAGGATAGTTATAAAGAGAAATGACACCATTACTTTTCCTAAGGACAAATAAAGAATAAAATGCATGGTCCAAAGAAAACTTAAAGGCATTCAAAGTTTAATGTGAAAAAACCTCAATTTAATTTTGAAGGAACAACATTATTCTGTAAAGTAGGAGACAAAGAAGAATTGTGCTTCAGCAAGAAGCTATACTGGACTCATAGGTGAACCCAGCCATAGAAATGCACTAGTTTCATATTTGATAAAGCAAGGTTGGAAGGGTAATGTGTAGGGCTCCACACTAGTGGTAACCAACTAGCCACAGACTAGTAGAAATTCAGTTTTGGCTAACAGTTTTTATTTCCACTTGCCAGTTTGGCTAGTAAACAAACTGAAATTGTTGTAACATCTAAGTTGTCACTAGCCACTTGGCTGGTAAGTTGAAAAGTTAATGTCAAGCACTCTAGGGGGAAAAGATATTTTTTGGAACTGCATCTGAAATGAAGCTCTATTATCACATTACAAGAGTCACTTACTGGATTGCTTCCAGGAATTGGCAGTCCATTCAGTTTTCCCATAACTTTCTGTGAAACTGTGTAATCACCAAAGTCAACAAAACAGTATCCAGCTGGAGTACTGAAAACAAAAATATGTATATATCAAAAAAGATCATGACACAACCATCAAAGGTTTAATGGTTTCACCCAGACTCTTCAAAAATTGTGAATTTAATTCAAACTTTTCACAAATGAAATTTGGTTAAGGCTATCAATACATATATATCTCCAGCTATTTTCACATGCCAGAGCAATAACTGTCAGCCATCATTCTGGCATGTAACTAATCATTTGTCTGGGTCTGATGACCAGAAAGTCTGCTCTACTAGAGTAAAGATCTGGGTCCAAACTTGTTAAAGTTCATCTCAGTCTGTTTCAGTTTAGGACATGTTACCCTTATAATATCTCTACTCACCAACAAGTAATAATTATTTTCTGTACATACTCACAGACCCTTTATTTATCGAATAGGAGAAATCATGTCAAGTTAGGAAGTAATATCGGCTCCAACAGTTTAGTCAGTTGAGGCTGTCCTCAAGGATCCACACTGGGTCCTCTGTTGTGGAATATATTCCAAAACGATCTATCTTATCATGTTAGAGATATATCAATGTACGCGGACGACCATCAGTTTTACCATACAGGTCATGACCTACCCACTACAACATCCAAACTTAGAGACAGTGCGGAAAAAGCAACCAACTGGTACGAATCTAATCTATTAGCTGGTAACCTTAAAAAATACTAAACCTTAATTATTGGTAACAACAATAACTCTGAAAGTAACATCAAAGAATGCGCTATACATCTTAGTAAACAAAGAGAAAATCAATACCACTGCTACTCTCCAACTTCTCAGAGTCACAATTGACTCAAATTTGAACTTCAGTAATCATATAAATACTATCTGTGACAAAGCCAGTCAAAGGATTGGTGTGCTTATGAGACTCCACAACTTGATTCCAACAAATGCAAAATTACAACTTTTTAAGGCAGCCATTCTACCATATCTAACCTACCGCCATCTCACATGGCATTTTTGTAAATCTAGTGATAGTCGCTGATTGGAGAGTAACAGCTTGGGGTACATGGTTTATGTATAGAACGGGATTAACCACCATCACAATTGACACGAATATTAAGAAGCAAGTGGTGGGAAATAGGGGAGCAATTATGTATTCAGAATATGGCCACTGAAGTTCACAATGTCCCCAGGCTTTCAAGACCACTGAAGGTAATTTTGTGATTCTGTTTGGGGAAAGATATCCCCATATAGCCTCACACTTCATTGCGCTTACTGTTCTTGTATAAAGACAATGGCGAATACAATTGATTGTCTTGAGACAACGGCTTTGGTTTAAAACAGTATGGGGTCATACAGAAATCTTTCCCCGTTTGGGAGTAAGTCACTGGCCTTGTATAGTTTGATAGATAACATTACCCTGTAGTTCTGTTCTTTATCATCTTCACGGACACAACAGCTTCTCCCATCGCCGCAAAAGCACTTGTGATGAAGGCTTCATCCATGTAACTATCAAGCTGTCAACGATACAAACAGAGTTTCAATCGCATTGCCATTTGCTATTGCCATTACATTTTAGCGTGAAAAAAAATAAAATAAAATAAAATAAACCACATGCGTTATCAAACTAGTTTCATACATCTCCCATCCACAGACTTGTCATTATGCCGGTATAAGAGTGGGACCGCAAACAACAGACTCGTGCTTATTTGATTTCAGGTTTTCCTTCGTCAAATGGTGTGCGAAGGCTGCTGAATACTCAAAAGCTCAGAGTGATCGAAAAGATATAAGAAACACTAAAACTTCTCCAAAATGAAGACCACCGTGTTCAATAATTAAGGACAAGAACGTTTGGTTGATCAGCTCAATGCGCTTAAAAGCTAAGCACGTGGTGTATGAAAACACATACTGTATCGAATGTCCGCTGACTATTTCCGCTTTCATTATGTGTTCGGAATACCTCCTGCCTCAGGATTGACTTTGCCAGAAATATACGTTCGCGAATTTCACTCGCCGTAAATACTTTTTGATCAGATATCCTATTTTCTGGAGATCTGAGATCTGTTGATTAGATGTCGACCATTTCGCACGCCTACTCAAGAAAACCCTGATAATTTTCCCCAAGAAAGCGTATGGAACTCCAGCGAATCGCACTGATCAGCGCTATTACACAGTTTTCTCTAATTGGCTAAAGCACCAACGCCCTAAAAAAGATCTAATGTATTTTAAGTACTGCGCTTTTTATGAATGCAATTTCTTGAAAATAACAGAGCAAACTTACCTCTGAATCTCAGGATTTCGCAGGAGAGGGCGAACCTAAAAATCGACTTAAAGGAGAGTTTATAAAGGAGAATAAAAATTTATTCTGAAAGTCCTAACCCATCTCACCGCGGCTCACCACAGTCATAATTCGGTGGTCTTCAGTTTACAGTTCACCCGCAGGTTGTTTCTCTATGCGTAACAAGTTTCCCATCTCCAGGGCCGTGTTTCAAGGATTTACAGCGTAAATTTATCGACACTTACATGCAGCGACTTGCGTAAGACAAGGAAGGAATTCACACTAAAGGGGGAATCACGAGTCAGCATCTTCCTGGCTTTTGGGGGCATATCGCCTGATTTTTCTTTTGATTTTTCAAGCGAGGGGAGGAGAGGACTAACAGTTAGGAGTTTCACCTCCTTAAAGTTATAAATTCCATATCGTTCGAGTTCTTACGTATGAGTAGCGAGGCTGCTACTGACACGCCAAAAAGTGTCTAACACCAAACAGATATAAGCCATGAGAGAATCTTGTGATTTGTGCGTTTTCGAAAAATTAAATTATATAATTTAAATACAGTTAACCTAAAAAAGATTATCTGACAAATAGGGAGTCAAGGACACACTGCGACCCCCCTCACGGGTCAAGGACACGAGGCAAATCATTACATTACCCTTATAAACAGGGACACTCCAGTTCACATCAGACACATTTGCATTCATGCGTTATCGTCAGGACAATCTCGTGAAGGTTAAAATGTTCGTCTTATAAACAAAACCAGTAATTAAAAAGCAATAGCACTGAAAATGTTGTGATAGCTTTTATTTTTACTCTTGATCACAGTAATGTATACTTGCGTTGCTGTTATTACTTAGCTTTTTTTATCGCTTGTCGCTTGCTGAGGATGCAGTTCAGCTAAGTCGCCGAATGATCGAAGGAGCAAAAGGCTACAGACAATCACTTGGCGGTAGATTAAAAAGGGAGAAAAAATCCGAGCCATTAAGAGCCAAAGACTGTACGAGGTTCCACCCAGAGAAACTGAAGAAACAAAATCAGTTAAGAATAAAGTTAAGTTAAGTTATAGAGTAATCTGATCGTCCAGGTCAGTGTAGTCTTGAGAAGGACTGCTATTGTTGGTGGTGACTGACGTTTTCGACAACCTGAGCGGAAGTCAACATCAGAGCCAAGTGAATAGTCACTGTTAGTCGAATAGTGTAAGTCCATTTCGTATAAGAAAAGGTTAAGAAAAGATTTAAAAGAAAAATAGTTCTACGAGAATGATTTCCACTATTCGACAGGTGATCAAACGAGACAAAAATTCTTGCATTAAATTCTCACGAAACTCGTAAGTTTAAAGTTTGGCGTACCTACTGGTCCTGGAGAAAAGTGAAGGAGATACAGCATAGCAACACAAACGTCTTGGCCAACAATTACCAGTGTTGTAATGGGCTGTGATTGAGAAAATGTTAAAACACCAAAGTTAACACAATGGGAACAGAACTTGGTGGCGATTATATCGCGTTCTTTGAGATCCAACAGTCTCCGACTCACAGAGAATTTGCTTCGCAAGGTGGGGAGACGGATGAACTTTGAAGGCCAAGTCGCTGTGCCATTTAGGTCCCTTCCCAAAGACGATAATTCCAACCTCATTCACATTACTATATAGCGCCCTCTAAATCCCTCAAGAGAAAAACATTTGAAAAACATCTTTGATAAATCATAAAATCATATTAGAACCTCTGGTATCCTAGCTTAGATTTAAAATTTTATTTTTTCAATTTTGGAAAAAAACTATCAGTAAACTAAACCACAGTATCAGAACCAGCTTACTCACTTCCTTAAAGAAAATCCTCACCAGCCATGGATCTTGCGAGCGTGTCTTTGCAGAAACATCATCCGGATGTAATACCAGCGCGCATCTGTCCAAAGCAGTTGGAAAAAAATTGTGTCACAGTATGTACTACTAAGAAATGTAAAAAAATTTGTATAGGGAAGGAGAGAGAAGTACAAGAACAAATAAAAGAGCTAGCAAGAACGAGAAGTTTGAAGGCCGGTTATTCTAATCGTAAGAAAACCTACTACTGAAAATAACAGTCAAACTTCATGACTCAACCCGAACTAGTATGGTAACATAAGAATAAACTGGGTAAGTTTCTGAAGAAACTGTGGCGCTGTGCCGGTAGGGGAGTATAACGAAATATTTAGCTTCATCAAATGAGTTGATGGTGTAACTTGGCCGCCGTGATCGTCAGAGCTAATAACGATCGAAGGGCTAACTAATTCGCTCTGACGAAGGGCTTACGCTCGAAACGTCAGATTAGAAACTCTTTATTTTACGGCGGCCAATTTACATTATCAACTCAGTTGATAAGACCAAATTATCTTGTTTGGTAAAACATCAGTATCTAGTTCTATATTTCATCGCGGACATGGCAGTAACATAACAGGAAAACTACAGTCTATACCTATAAAGATTTGAAAAACTCCCTGTAACTTCTAAACAAACCAGCAGCTGTAATAAAAACAAGTGTTGAGGGTAGAACGCACACAGTGCCATCATCATTGCTACCCTACCACACCTGGGAAGAATAACATACAAGATAAGAACAACTATATGTTAGTATATATCTTGATTTCTCGCCTTTAATGAAAATTTGAATAAATAGTTATGCTCCCGAAAGAATCTCTATGTTTTATAGGCTGCAGATTAGGCCTTTTGTTTCGCAGATTTTCATGCTAATTATGGCAGAAATACCATGGCCTATCAACTTTAAAATACTGGGATATCTGTGGTCTATTCCCATAAGTTCATGACGCTGGCATGTCACGGTATGTGACTTTTAGTGCTTTACAGGATCCTGCTGAGTAAAACATCGGCTACACAGTTTAAATACCTATCAAGAAGAAAATCCAACAGCTCCCCATATTTGGAACCTAGAATTAAACAAGGACAAAAGTAATAACTTTTATTAGTGGCTTAATAAAGGAATTCAAACAGTCCAAATGGGCTGAGTCTTAGGCAATGACTATAAGGTCTCTAGACTCAGTAAATGTTGAAAATAAGATGTCGCCGTTGAAGAAGTGTAGCTTGCAGTGGAGGTTCCACTCAACGCGTTCAGTGAATTGACTAACGAAGCATCACAATAAACCCAGTATATTGCCACCAATACAAAAGAGTTTTCGACAGCCCTGATCTCCCCTTAAGCCCTACAAATACTGACCAGTCGTTCTTAACTTTAGTTAATATGCCGCGTCAAGGTCCGGCGAGAGACTGGCACTACCACAACCACATGGACGAAGGGAAGGAAGAAGAGAGAGAGGAAAGACGACGTTTCTCCTTGGGTGTTACGAAAACTAGGACCCTCGAAAACGAAGACCTAAGACCTAAGACCCCCTAAAATCGAATCCGTCGAAATATAAAGTCAAATTGTAACCAAAACAGGTCTAATCTGTCAAATTATCCCGTCTGATCCTTTCCACCGAGTTTTAGGTAAGGATGGGCCGATGTGGCTTTTTCGAATCGATACGACACCGAGTACGATATTTACCTTTTTCTTCGATATCGATATCGATACCCATACTGTGACGTCGTTAAAATGAATAGTAAGTCACGTGATCTGATTGATTAGATGAAGACATCCTCGCACGGTTTTTAGTTCAGTTCTCTATACAGTGGAACCTCGATTTAACGAAGTGCCAAGGGACTGGCTAAGTTGGTTCGTTATATCGAGGTTCTGTGGCATACATTTCATTGTAATTTTAGCCGGACTGAATCTGAAGTATCGTTCGTTATACCGAGGACTTCGTTATGTAGCGGTTCGTCAAGTCGCCGTGCCACTGTAGTAGCATCAACAAGACAGTCGAACAAGTCGATAATTTCTATTTGTTGGGACTCATTTTTAAATTTCATGAGGAAATGAAGAAGACCGCAATGGTACAATCTTTCTACTTACTATATTAAGCAATTCGCAACTTTCACTTGCATTCATGATCATAAGGCGTACAATGAAAGGTTAACAGTCACTGCACAGGTCACTAATAACAAACAAACTCGGGTGCACGACTTATTATGCACCCTGCGCATTATGGACTCTCTGGCATACAGGGCCATACAGGGTGCCATACTTAAGAACTATTTAACCTTCCTCAGTGCTTTTCTCGCTCGAGGTTTTTCCTTAGTGAGCAGGCATAGTAGATTGCAACTCATTTTTGTTACTCCAGATATGTCCCTGTAATAATAATAATAATAATAATAATAATAATAATAATAGTACTTAGAAAGGCACAATTTTGCTTTAAAAGTGTTCTTCTTTGAGATGCTCAAAGACCTAAAGCTCGCTGATAGTACTCCGCCATGGTTCTCAGATGTGAAGTCCAAACCTCTTTATAAGTCACCTGATGCTGAGGCATATTGGGATGTACCAGTATATGCTGATCATACATATCTACAATCTAATCGTGTGGATGCACGTTTCATCGACCACAAAAACAAGAAGGCACTTATGGTGGAAATGAGCTGCCCTTGGATCAACAACAGAGACAAGAAAGACAAAGAAAAGACCAAGAAGTATGGAGCACTTAGACTTGAGCTGACAAAACAACACCCAGGATACAAGATCTCACAAGTAAACGTCATTATAGATGTACTTGGAGGATGGTCTAAAGC